TCGTTCTACGGAGTTACCAGTACTAGTAAGTCGCGGGGGCTTTGTGTTAGAGACTAAGGACGGAGTCTAGAAGCTTAGGAGCCGAAATTATCACAAAATCGTTGGCTTAGAATTCTGGACAGAAACGTCGACTTCACAAGAAACGTTGTCGACGAAAGGTGCACCGTTAGAATCCCACGAATTTCGAATATTCTGTAGCCCTAGACCGTGGCTACATTTCGAAGTTTGAATCGTATCAAAATATGAAGTATATCTCGAGTTATGCTTTTCGGCGCACTAGGGGGTATGCTGCCACAGAAATTTAACTCAATCACAATTAACTCACAAGTCCAACAAAAGAACATTGGAGTAGCACTAAACCAGGTAGGAGGGGAAGAGGAGGACGAGAGGGAAGGCCCCAAGGGAGTCCCCAACCAAGGAAACCCCATACCACACAATTCCCTTCCCCATAGGCAACAAACTTTGACCTTTGTCACTTTCCAACCCATGCCATCCACCTCACCCAACTTGGCCACACTTGCCAACCTGGTTTGGCACCTCCCAACCACTTGGCAGCATCTGCAGTGATGTTGACGAATTTCCCAACCCCCAAGATTCTGTACTCCTTATGGAGTCAACACCACAACTTCCCATAGTCACCACAACCAAATATCAAAAGCATACGAACTTCCAACGTTCGTAACTTTCTTGTTCGTGCTCCGATTGAAGTGATACTTGGTTCGTCGGAAAGCTCTTGAGCAGAGGATTCACTTCAGATATCTGCTCAAGCCAAATGACATTCACACACACTCAGAAAAACCAAACCGCACAAAACACAAATTCTTGCATACGCTCAGACCACGCATGCAACGCACGAACACATGATGGGAGGCAGACAGACGTGAATGCGTATGATTGCATCACACAATAAACTCCCCCTCTGGCTGCCAACCATCATCCCACATGTCATAGCTCAAGCATGCACCCTCAATGCACACTCATCCCAGCAAGCTTCATGCCCTTCCAATGCTCAGATTCAGCCAGGCGCTTGGTGAGAATGTCAGCCGCCTGCTGATGGGTCTTCACAATCTCCAGCCGCACCTCCTTGTCCAGGAGCCTCCTTGTCCAATGCCACTTTGGCCTGATGTGCTTTGTCAAGCCATGAAGACAGGCATTCTTTGCAAGCTTCACCGCCGACTCATTGTCACAGAAAATCACAGTCGGCTCCCTCTGACACACTCCGATTTCCTCCAACAAACGCCTCAGCCACACCACCTCCTTTGCCCCATGATGCAGGGCCATGTACTCTGTCTCACACGAGGACAGCCCCACCTCGTTCTGCTTCTTGCTGCGCCAGCTCACTACACCACCTCCAAAGAGGCACACATAGCCTCCAATGCTGGTGCCATCCGTCTTCACTGAGTTGAAGCTAGCGTCGGTGTAGCAAGTCAAGCGCATCTCCCCCTTGCTCAAATCAGCTGCACCCCTCTGCAGCCTCTGTCGAACAGCACTGTACTCCAAGCCCACTGATGCTGTAGCGCTCACATAGCGGACCAACCTCTTGGCCGCTTCCAGCTGCTCATGACTTGGGCATGAAACCACACTCGCAAGCCTGGATGTAGCAAAGGCAATGTCAGGCCGCGTGTGGTTAGCCGCATAGTTGAGTGCCCCCACCATGGAGTGAAACAACTTCCTGTCACTCTCCCCCACCACCTCCTCATCAGCACAGGGCTCCACAGTGAACCCCGAAGGCAGTGGGGTGGCTGGCTTTCCTGCATCTTGCAGCCCATACTTCTCAGCCAGCCCCTCACAATACTTCCTCTGGTGCAACCTCAACACTCCCTTGTCAAGGTCCCTCTCCACATGCATCCCAAGGTAGTACTTCACATCTCCCATCTTGGAGCACTTGAACTGCATTTCCAGCATCTCCTCCACACGTTCAATCATCGCAGACGACTCAGAGAAGAGCAGGATGTCGTCCACGTACACCAGGAGCATGAGGAACTGCTCCTTCTCTTGCAGCAGGAACAGGCTGTGATCACACTCGCTCTTCTTGAACCCCCCGGCCAGCAGTGTCTCCTCCAGCTTGTGGTACCATGCGCGAGGAGCCTGCTTCAGGCCATAGATGGCCTTCTTCAGCCTGCACACCCTGCCGCTCCCATCATCCAACCCCTCAGGCTGCAGCATGTACAGCTCCTCCAGAATGATTCCATTGAGGAAGGCAGTGATTATGTCCATCTGCTTGATCTTCCAGCCACGGTTTGCAGCCATTGCCAACATCGTCCTCAGTGTAGTGCCTTTCCCCACAGGAGCAAAGATATCATCAAAATCCTTCCCCTTTGTCTGCTGGAACCCCTTAGCCACAAGCCTTGACTTGTAGCGGGTCAGCTCCCCATCAGGTCCGTACTTGTGCCTGAAAATCAGCTTGGAAGAAATGGCCTTCTTCCCAGGAGGCAGCTCACACAGCTCCCACGTCTCGTTCTCCAGCAGAGAGTCATACTCCTCCTTCACACTCTGCTTCCACATCTCAGCATCGGGCCCACTCAAGGCCTCGGTAAGTGTCTTGGGCTCAGGGACGGCTGCCAAGTAGCAGTGCGCTATCTCTTCCTCATCACACTGCTCAGCCACACTCCCAGCCCTTACCACACTTGGCTTCCCAAAGCTCGGATAAGTCAGCCAGTTAGGAGGGCGCACATCCCTCCTTGGACGGTCAGCCGGACGTGCGGCACCTTGTGGAGCATCTTGCTGCTGGTGCTGCGGCTGCTGCTGCTGCTGCTCCTCCACCTCAGGTTCTCCCCCATCCGCAGTCACCCCAGAAATCTCCTCCTCTGAGACAGTGACCTGCACTTGCCTCGAAGGCCGCTGCACCATCGGCCTCAATGATCAGTGGTGTTGTAGGAAGCTTCTGCTGCTGCTGCTTCCACTCTTTGTAGTACAAGGACTCAAGGAACTTCACATCCCTTGACACAGTCAGCTGCTGGCTGGTCAAGTCCCAAATCAGCCAGCCCTTGTGATCCTTAGCAAGCCCCAAGTGCACACCCCATCTCCCAGAAGCTTCCAGTTTTCCCCTCTTCTCCTTAGGCACATGAAACACCACCATGCACCCAAAGGCTCTCAGCATGTTCACAGCTGGTGCACTCCCATACCACTTGGTGTAGGGGACCCATTGCTTGTCTCCCACTGTCGCCAGCACCCGGTTCTTCACAACAGCGACCTGCCGCAGTGCTGTCACCCAAAACGGATCCGGCAGCCCTGCACGCCCAAGGAGAGTGCGAGCACCTTCCTGCAGGGTCCGGTTGAACCGCTCAGCCACGCCGTTCTGCTGAGGGTTGTAGGGCACCGTGAGCTGATGCTGGATCCCCTTCTTCTTCAGCACCGCCTCAAAATCAGCGCCAATAAACTCTCCCCCATTGTCGGTGCGGATCACCTTGACCTTGTGTCCGCTCTCCCTTTGTGCTCTCGGCATCCACTCCTTAAGAACAGCCGCTGCCACCTCCCCTTTAGTCTTGAGAGGGTAGACCCACACCGCACGTGTGTGGTCGTCCACAATGGTCAAGAAGTAGCGGCTGCCCGAGAGAGAAAGGGCCCTTGTGGGGCCCACCACATCCATGTGCACAAGCGCGAGTGGAACCTTGGCTGGTCCCGTGCTGCTGCTGAAAGGGAACTTGGTGAACTTTGTCTCAAGGCATGTAGGGCAACTCCCAATCTCCTTCGCTGCCCCCTTCACCTCCAATCTCTTCAAGCTCCCATCCTTCACCAACTTCTGCAGCATAGGAATGTTGATGTGGCACAGCCTCTCGTGCCACGTCTCCCAATCGGCCTCACCACTCCCAGACGAAGCCTTTGCCCATGCAGCCGTTGCATCAACACCAGCAAGCACCTCACCATGTGATTGCTGTGGCTGCTGCACCTTCTTGACTCCATCCAGGGCCCCAGCAGTTGGTGCACTCTCCTCTCCTCCCGCAGTTGCCTTAGCCGCTGCCGCTGCCTTTGCCGTTGCTGGTGGTTTCCCATTCCAAGGGATGATGGGCAGCTGCCACAGGTCCTTGATGCAGCTGCTCTTCTCCTCCAAATCCCACAACAGCAACTTCCCAAGCTTTGCACGGCAGCTGGTTGGGCCGAACGTAACTTTGGCCTTGCTTTTCTGCAGCCGGCGCACAGAGAGGAGGTTAGCGGATAAACCTTCAACCAACAGCACATTTCCCAGCCCCACAAGCCCCCCATTAGCTCCCATAACCTTGGCATTCCCAACACCAATCACAGGGAGCAAGGCACCTGAAGCGGCAGCCACAAACTTTATCTTCCCAGGGGGCTTCACCTCATCAAGCAAATCTGCCCGTGGAGTCATGTGACTCGTGCAACCTGAATCGATCACCCAGTGAGTGAGGGGGTGCATCACAACCTTCCCAACTGAACCCACATCACCCCCACTCCCTTGCACATCCTCAACCATGAGGAACATCCCAGGGTCGGCTTTACCTTGTGCACCATCACCTTGTGCACCTGAACCTTGCACAGCACCACCTCGTGCACGTTCACCACTTGGCGGCTTCATGCCTGGAGGCGCCCATCCTTCAGGCCGGCTGAAACACTTGAACCACGGGTGTCCAGCCTTCTTGCAGTACCAGCACGCACCCTCCATTCGGGTGCTCCCCCTGCCACCAGAGCTCCCATGCCCCTCGTTGTAGTCACCTCGGCCTCTTCCTCTGCCAAAGCCTCTCCCACGGCCTCGGCCTCTCCCTCCCCCTCTCCCCCTGCTGCCTCCTGCAGCTCCATACCCCTCAGCAGTTTTGTTGGCAGCACCACCTCCCGTGTGGCGCCTGCGGAAGTCCTCCTGCAGGATCTGCTGCCGTAGCCACTCAGGCGTCCACTTGTCCTGCTGAGCGTTGAGGGTGGGGATAAGGTTGTCCCACGAGTTGTCGAGTACCGAGATGATTTTGGTGCACTGCTGCATCTCCGACACCTTGCTGCCCGCCGCTGCCATCCTCGCATAGGTGTCCTTGATCTTGTCAAGGGCCGGT